TAATAATAGATTATAAAATTATAAGGTTAATAATTAAAATTACTGCTAAAATATATTTCAAAATATAAAATAAATTATAGAAGAATAAAAATATCATCTATAAACTATCAATAAACATCATCTACGGTATATCTTCTTTGAAGAAAATAATCAAACAATAGACTTGCCACATGTGACGACGTGACAAGAGACAATGCAAGATCGTCTAACAAAACTTGTCGAGGAAATTAATTTTCCTCACTCGTTTGAAAAGACAATTACTATTTTTGAATAATTGTATTGTTAATTATTAATTATATAATTATTATTTAATTATTAATAATTATTGTACTAGACGGAATTTACCAACAATGGACCTGTTGTAGAGCGATTCATCCAAAGAGTGGGAAGGGGGATTGGAAGATTGCACCACCACCAGACAAAAAAAGTAAATATTGAAATAATTTTAAATATTTTACGTCATAATGTTGTAATTTTGTATTTTTTGAATCGCAAAGTAAGCCGAAAAATTACCGACTTGAAGAATTTTGAAAATCATCCTTCCAACACCGTAAAATTTTGAATCAGCCATCGTTGCTACAAGTGGCAGAGCGGCATGGCTAGTTTTCAATTTTTTTTTGACAAAACACTTTTGACAAACTTCTTCACACGTCAAACAATATCTTCTCCGTTTTACATAAAAATTATTTTTCTAAATACAATGTGCGTTTCATTGTTTTATGTGTTTTATTTTTTCTTTATACGTGCATTTTGTTATTATAAGGAGACATCTTCGTCTATTTCAATGACCGGTTAGGCTGAATGAAATTTATATATACTTTGTTTATTTTGTTTATTTTACAATTATTTTGTAATATAATTTTAATATTAATTATTTCATCACGAAATGTTTAATTTATTATTATTATTAACATAATATTGCACATACAATATATGTTATTATGTTATATTACAAAATAATTGGTTATTATACTTAATTTAACTACTTACGTAATTTAACTTTAATCGTTACGTTACTTTCGCGCTCAACTCTTATTACGTCATCTGACAGTTTATTGTTATGTTTTATTTGAATTAATATTAAATTGCCTGAAGATGAATTATAAAATTCGAAACGTCGCTTAATAAATAATTATATAATGAATATTGGTGTTCTTATTTTTAATTTAAATTATAATTATAAAAAACTAATAAGAAAAATAGAAAATCTTAATAAAAAATTAAATAACAATAATATAAGCATCGCGTTTAATGAAATATGCTTAAATGAAAATTTGTTACCGAAATTTACTGATATAAATATATATATATATATATGTACATATATATATATATATATATATATATATATATATGTACATATATATATATATATATATATATATATATATATATATTACATCTACACACAGACACACACACATATATATACGTTAACTGGAATGACGATAAATAACTGCAGCAAAAGCTAGATGAGCTGAGTTTCACGCAATTGGAAAATATTGAAAAAAATTATTTTAACAAGTTTTAGTAGAAATTTATTTCGAAAATGTTAATTGTAAAAGTATGTTCAGTAATAATTCTGCTGTCCTCATCAGTCAACTCGTTAGCTTCAGCAGTTGATAAGAAGTATGGAATGATAGGAGAGCCAGACAACCCCATGTGTTTTTCTTCCCAACCTACCACAGTCCTAACCAACATACGATCCTTACTGGAATGTTCTGTCAAATGTTCTCATTATGTTTCTCCCACTGATGGTAACATTACTTGCAACGCATTCAACTACGTATCCAACAATGCTAGTCGGTCAGCTAAGTATTGCCAACTGTTTCATTTCACTTGCGATGTCCATTACGAGATTGTTCTGAAGAATGCGCGTTGCCTAGCTTATGAGGCCAGTTTACTCTTGTTTTTCATTATTAATAATTTTTTTTATGTTTATAAAAACTTTTGTTTTTTTGAAAAATTCGCTAAATTGTCGAGTTTTCCAACGAAGGATGTTCCGGCCAGGAAGAAATTGAGTTAGTTAACTTTTTACTAGATTAATAAATTGATTAGTAAGCATTAAGCATTAAGTATTTATTATTTAATTTATTTATTTTGTTAAATAATTTATTTTGTCACATACTCATACAGTGTTCAATCGTAATCTAACTTCAGCAATTTGTAAGTTTGATAATTTGTTCCTTCTTGTATAAAAAGCTATTTCAATGTTGAATACGCTAGCAATTTTCCTTGAACATTCTAAAGAGAATAAAAATATTTTTGGTGAAAATAATCATTTTTTAGTATTTTTCAATAAATAACTGATGTTTATATAAAGTAAAAATTATTTAAAATTTATATATAGATAACAGTTTGAAGCAGGGATAGATGTTACCAAAATTTTGAAATTTTCAAACTAATTTTTTTTTTAATTTTCTATAAATCAGAATTGTGGCAGTTAAGAATTGCTTTTACTGTCTTTTTATCTTGGTTCTCGTTTAATCATAATTTCAACATTTATTCAACAACCATCCTAATTTATACAGGGCACATTTTTTAATACTCGTTTTCATATTCTGAATACAATGCTTATAAATATGAATGCCTGCAATATAGGACTTGATTAAATTTTGCACGCGAACTCCGGCCGGGATTTCAGAAGTTTAAATTTTTATGAAAATATTGAAAATATTTTTTGATAGCAAACAAAACCTCCTTGACTCCAAGCAAATCCTGCAACTTCCCATTCAACTTCAACGGGAGATTGTTCTACTCTTGTTCCAACTCACTACCTGGCATCGACAATCCTTGTGCTCTCTACATGTGTCTCACTGCTAACAGGCAGTTGTCCATCTGTCTTGATCCTCAAGGTTGTTTCTAGTTTATAATATCGTCACTTTATTTAAATATTTTCTCGATGATTTTTTGCAAAGAGAAATTTGCATGGACTTTCTTAGGCTTTTACCGATGTAGTGTGGAGAGTGTAGAAAAGAGACTGGATGTAATTTTTATGAAAGTGTTAAATTTTCAATCCTTATTGCATTTAATTATATTTGAAAATGCTCACCGCTGCTTTTTGATATTATGAATGGTGAGCTTTATTCTAACAGTACATAACTAGCTACTGCATTTCAAAAGAAGTTATAAATAGTAGATCACATTTAAATGACTGACAACTCAGTTGATATTCTTAGCAACGACGTCTCAACTCACCACTGACATGACAGCATTAAATATTGTGATTGTCTATAATAATAAATGATTCCGAGTCATGACATAAATTTCAGCCTACAACGTTGTCAATGAAACAATCCTGTTGGACATTCCAACGTTTGCCAACTCAACTCCTGTCACGTCTGTCAATGGATGGATTGTCATTCAGCAGAGGATTGATGGCTCGCTGAGTTTCAACCAAAATTGGAAGACGTATAAAGTATGAATTTGAAAAATAAATTTTTGGTTCGCAGTTTATAGAGATGATAAAACTTTGCAGTCAGGGTTTGGAATTTACGACAGAAACTTCTGGTTGGGTTTGGAGAAGATGCACCAATTAACGGCATCGGCTGATTACAGGTTGAGATTTTAAGTGCTCATCAGTGGTTCTTGGTACTCCGATGAATATGATCATTTCGAGGTTTGTTAATTTTTAATACCAATATTCTTAACCTATAATGATTCTTTGTAAAACTAAAAGTAATTTTTTTACCGGTTTCACCCGTAAAAATTTTACTAAAACTATAAAATGTTAAAATATCAACACAATTTAAACGATAAAAATGTTGCAGGTAGGCCCAGAATTTCAGAAATACTTTCTCAACGTTTCTGGATACAGAGGAGATAAATGCGATGTTCTGAACCATCCGGATCCAAGGTTTGTTCAAAATGGAATGAACTTTTCTACTCCAGATCAAGACAACGATCTTCATCCAACATACCACTGCGCTTTTAAGTATTCCTCTGGGAATTGGTACAACAGTTGTTTCTACCAGCGTCTGAATGGAGTTTATGGTTCGTCGTTTGATTACGCTTATTCTCCCGCTACTTACTGTAGGATGATGGTGAAGCGTAACGTGTAGTAGTGACGAGAGATTGATTGATGATGGCTTGCAAACATTTTTTTGTCCATATTCATGAGATATACGATTCAATTTTTTAATTGTTGCAAACAATAAGTTGTCCTGAACAAATTGGTGAGCATTAGTAATGAAAAAACAATTGAAATTAATATTATTCAACTCATCTTAAGGCCATCAGAGTTATAAAAACACCCCAGTTTAAAAAGTCCATATTAAATAAAATTTGCCCACTTTCATTAATTTTAATTAGTGCTAATAATTAAAAAAAACATTTAGTTAAAAGCATTAGAATTATAAATCTATGATAGAAAGTACATTTTTTTATATCTTAATTCTAATGTTTTGTTCTGCTCATCGATAATGTGGGTTCTGCTCGAGAGATGCACGGGCTAACATTTTTACTCTAATTAATTTTCATTATGCCGGTTTTCCCAATTTTACTTACTGCGGGATGATGATGAAGCGTAACGTGTAAGGAGCATGTTTGTAATGTTCATTCATGTTTCTAATGTTCATTCATATCATATATTCAACTTTCTTAGAGGATTTCTATTTATTTCATGCGTGAGTTGTTTACACCTGTCATAGAAATGTTGTTTATTTATCTGATAATTTTTTATTCATTTTTTCGTAGAAGAAATCTTTTCATTTTAATGTTTATGCCTTTTTGATAGCATTTTTGATATAATTTTACTTTCTTTATTTATTGAAAAATTAAGTTTAGTAAATGAACATTTAAAATTATAAATGTAACCACTGATCTGTTTAGAACTATTGATCTGTAAAGTATTGAATGAATGAACATTCATCAAGTTTTTCATGCTCGAAAAATAAAAAGTTTATTTCGTTATTAATGTTAACATTGGCACTAGCATTTTATATAACATTTATATGAATGATGATTTATAAATAAGCTATTACGAGATCATTTTTGGCTCATCAGAAAACTTTGACAAAACTTCTAAACTTGTGAGTTTTATATGAAAATTTGTTAGATTGAAACTTTTTAAAATCATTATATTACTCATTAATCTTTAGTTTCAGATACCTCCAATTACATTTTAATATATGATCATTTCTAAATATTTATTTAGTCTCCCATAGCTTAAGGTCTTTATTACATTCAACGTGATCTGTGCATTTATTAGTTTTAAAAACTTTTACAACCATTTTTATTGCTGTGTAACAATTTTTGTTTTTCCAATAAAATTATTAAGTGGTAGAAAAAGTTTTTTTTCTAATTACGATGCAATAGATAGATAGCAAGTCTATCCTGGAAATATGAATAACTGAAAACATATATCACACAAATCGAATACAGTGTATGTGTGTGCGTGTGTGTGTTGTGTTGTTTGTGAATGCTGAGTGTGTTGTGTGTGTGTGTTAATGTGTGTGAGTTGTGTGTATGTGTGTTGTTACATGTTCTGTACGACGTACTCAGAATTAAAAATGCTAAATTACACATCAAAATTTTGTCTCCAGCAAAATAACAATGAAAGAAGAAAGAATAAAGAATCTATCTTCCAACCTGCCACTGTGTACGTTGTGTTTGTGCGTGTGTGTGTCACATCACAGTGCACATGCGTGATTGTTTGTGGATGTGCATGCATATGTGTGTGTGTGTTTGTGTTTGTGTGTGGGTACTAAACATGTGTTTATGTTTGTGTATGTGCATGTGTGTGTGTGTTTTTATGTGCGTGTGTGTGCACCCATACACACTTGCACTGTAATTAGTTGGTTGGACTAGGAATTCGGGACCATGAAATTTTGACAGCTTTAATTAAGGACGAGCAAACTAGTGAGACATCCACTGCTTACTGAATATTGCTTCAAGAAGGAATGAAAATGTTAAACAAGTTTGGACACGCCACAAACAGACAAGTTTTTTGTAGGGCAGAAATTGAGCATTAGTATTTGAATTTCGAGGAATATATTTTGAATGTTAAATCTTTTATTCAATTAAATTAAAATTTAAAATGTGGTTCTCAACGTTTTTATTGATTATTTTGATTACTTCGGTATCGTCATCAGTCAACTCGTTAGCGTCAGCAGGAGTTGGCAGGAAGTATGGAATGATAGGAGAGCCAGACAATCACATGTGTTTCGCTTCCGAACCTACCACAGTCCTAACCAACATACGGTCCTTACTGGAATGTTCTACCAAATGTTCTCATTATGTTTCTCCCACTGATGGTGACATCACTTGCAACGCATTCAACTACGTATCCAACAATGCTAGTCATCCAGCTAAGTACTGCCAAATGTTTCTTTTCACTAACAAGAACACAAGTTGTAGAATTACTCTGAATAAAACACGTTGCAAAGCATATAGAGTTAGTTATTTAATTTTGTTTAAAGTAGAAAATTCTCTTTTATTGCTTGAATTATCTCTTAATAGCAATTTTTTATTTCATTTCTACATCTTTTCTCATTCAGTTAAATTTTCATTGCAGGATACCACGAGCAATGAAGCGTTGCGTTAGTGATTTTTTTAATACATTATTTGCTCGATCTTTCATTACCTTAACTAACTGTTTAATAAATTAAATTAATAGTAGCTGGTTAAGGTTTTTGAATTTTTGACGATTTCCTTTTGAATAGTGAATTAATGTAGAATGTAAATAGTGACACTATATGTTAATTGAACAACTTCTCTATTCAAAAATAATGTTTTTTAAGCAACAAATTATCCTCTGACCCTGAACAAATCCTGCAACTTCCCGTTCACCTTCAACGGTGGATTGTTCTACTCTTGTTCCAACTCACTTCCTGGCATCAACAATCCTTGTGCTCTCTACATGTGCCTCACTGCTAACAGGCGGTTGTCCATCTGTATTGATCCTCAAGGTTTTTGAAAAATTATTTGTAAATTTTTGATAAATTCATTTTTCAAAAATGTAGAAAGAAATTTATAAAAATTTTTTCACCGGAACATATAAACATCTTTTTTTTTAACTTTTATTGCATATTAGCCTACAGTGCTGCCAATGAAACGATCATGTTGAACATTCCAACGTTTGCCAACTCAACTCCTGTCACGTCTGTCAATGGATGGATTGTCATTCAGCAGAGGATTGATGGCTCCCAGAGTTTCAACCAAAATTGGAACACGTACAAAGTATTTTGTGTAAAAAATTTTGTCAATACATGCTGAATTTTACTGTTTAAAAAATTAAGTCAGGATTTGGCATTTACTACAAAAACTTCTGGTTGGGTTTGGAGAAGATGCACCAGTTAACGGCATCGGCTGATTACAGATTGAGATTTGAAGTTCTCATCAGTGGTTCTTGGTACTCCGATGAATATGATCATTTCAAGGTCTGTCAAAATTTAACCTTTAATTTCTGAAATTGATTTATTTTGTCAAAATTTAAATGGCAGTTTTAATTACAATGGTACTAGTAAAAATTCTAATATGACTACAAAACGTTAATATTTCAATACAATTTAAACGATAAAAATGTTGCAGGTAGGCCCAGAATTTCAAAAATACTTTCTCAACGTTTCTAAATACAGAGGAGATAAATGCGATGTTCTGAACCATCCAGATCCATTGTACGTTCAAAATGGAATGAACTTTTCTTCGCCAGATCAAGACAACGATCTTCATCCAACATACCACTGCGCTTTTCAGTTTTCATCTGGAAGTTGGTACAACAGTTGTTACTACCAGCGTCTGAATGGAGTTTATGGTTCGTCGTTTGATTACGCTTATTCTCCCGCTACTCACTGCAGGATGATGGTGAAGCGTAACTTGTAGTAGGAACATTGATTAATGTTCATTGGTCAACATTTAGTGACGAGAGATTGATTGATGATGGCTTGCAAACATTTTTTTGTCCATATTCATGAGATATACGATTCAATTTTTTAATTGTTGCAAACAATAAGTTGTCCTGAACAAATTGGTGAGCATTAGTAATGAAAAAACAATTGAAATTAATATTATTCAACTCATCATAAGGCCATCAGAGTTATAAAAACACCCCAGTTTAAAAAGTCCATATTAAATAAAATTTGCCCACTTTCATTAATTTTAATTAGTGCTAATAATTAAAAAAACATTTAGTTAAAAACATTAGAATTATAAATCTATGATAGAAAGTACATTTTTTTATACCTTAATTCTAATGTTTTGTTCTGCTCATCGATAATGTGGGTTCTGCTCGAGAGATGCACGGGCTAACATTTTTACTCTAATTAATTTTCATTATGCCGGTTTTCCCAACTTTACTTACTGCGGGATGATGATGAAGCGTAACGTGTTTGTAATGTTCAATCATATCATATATTCAACTTTCTTAGAGGATTTCAATTTATTTCATGCGTGATTTGTTTACACCTGTCATAGAAATGTTGTTTACCTGTCTGATAATTTTTTATTCATTTTTCGTAGAAGAAATCTTTTCATTTTAATGTTTATGCCTTTTTGATATCATTTTTAATAAAATTTTTTTTTATAATTTTACTTTCTTTTTTTTTTGAAAAATGAAGTGTAGTAAACACAAACACGTACACACACGCACAAACTCACACGCACAGACACACACACACACACACACGATGCAAGTGATTATAGGCGGGGAATCTTCTTGCATTTAAAGGCGGTCACCGCAACAGCAGGACCAGGCGCCTTAATAATTACACCAACATTTTGAAGCACTTTTCGATGCTGTAACGTTGTTGAATACAAATTTTCATTGAATAAAATCATTAGCTGCAATAAAAAGTATTTTTTTATGTTAAAAAAATGAAAGAAACACAACTTAGCTGTCGTTACATAATAAAATAATACGTTAATACTACGCAAAAATGTGCTATGATGAGTATTTGATCAAACACTATTACAACTACAAAAAAGAATATACCGGTATATCCGTGCAGTCGAACCATGTCTCCGCTAAGCCGAACCAGGCGTCTTCAACCATTCAGCTATCACTAATCTGTTAATTTAAAAAAATAAATTTTAATTGCACTAAATGAACCATTTCAATTATTCATTTCGTCACAACGTTTGAAAAATTTTGAAACCCAGCAAATTGTAAAGGCGATTCTTTGCTTAGTTTTTAATGTTGTTCATGTTACTAGTATTTTACTATTTATACTAGTGTTGTATCAGTAGCAGTACCTGGAAAAATCACAACACAACAACACACATAACCAAAAACATTCGAGTGTATCTCATTTTTAGTTTTATCTCTTTCTCTCACTGTCTCTTCTTTCTACAATTTATGTTTTTCTCTTTCCCTCTCTATGTTTCTCTGCTTTCATTCCATTAAAAAATACCTGGAAACAACACAACAACAGTCAAAACCAAAATTTTTTGATGAAACTAAAGCGAGTCCCAAGTTGAATCTTTCTATCTCTCTCTTTTACTCTCTCTTATTCTTTATCCTTTTTCTAACTTTAACAACAACGACGACGACAATAATAATGATAATAATATAAATAACTAGTAATAATGATTATTATGATTAAAATATTTCCAATTAAATTTCATCCCCAAAATAGTATACATAATAACACGAATCAGTGGACCGTGGAGCAGTTGATAGTCTGGTATCTCTTGGCATTCAAACCTGGTCCCTGCGACAGCAATGCCAGACATTTTAACCACTTCACCAGCTCGTAAACCCTCTGTATACCTCTGAAGTACCAAAGAATCAGTCGTCCATGATGGGCACGTTTGGGAACTTTGTGCTTTGAAACGGAAAATTTTCATATTTTCACACTCAACCTGCTAAATTATTCATCTCGTCAAAATTTAAAAATTTGGTCAGACAATTGAATCTCGAAATAATACGTTATGACTGGAGTATGGTGATATTTGTTGTTTTTATCATTCTATGACGCACAATGCTTGCAGGGATGTGCTGTTATTTCTTATACTCTCTGAAAAGTATTTTTAAAATATTTCAGTACAAATATTACTGATACCTACTAATAGTATTCAGTTACTAACAATCTAGTGACTCATTGCCAAAAATCGCCGATCAAATCTTACTAAATTCAATTGTACCCTACTTCGATGGATGTTAACTTTCGTGTCAGCTGCTTTATTTCAATTCTTATCTTCAATTTTCGTAAGAAAATAAAATTTCGTTTCGTTTCGTTCAGATTTACTCATTTATCAATTAACTGTATTATGTAACATTGAACTTTACCTCCATCTTCCATAGTTTTTGCTTATTTTAAAAATTTTTATAACTTGTAACCATTGTCAAATACTTTTTTAAAAAATATCATCATATCAAGATGAATAAACAAACAAACCTAGATCAATTCAGAGCTTGAAAAGTTTTCCATCAACGTTTCTGGATACTGTGGAGATAAGAGAAATGTTTTAAAATATCACAACGGTATGAACTTTTCAACTCCTGATCAGGATAACGATCGGTATTTTGGCGGTAGTTGTGCTTCAGTGTATTCATCAGGGAATTGGTTCAATTGGTGTGGTTTTCAAAATGTGAATGGCCCGTTCGGATCAAGTTCTTTCCATTACACAGGTACTGACCTCACCTACAGCCGGATGATGTTGAAGCGTAACGTGTAAGGAGCATGTTTCTTACGATTATTCATCTCATATATCCTACTTTTTTAGATCCTTCAAATTATTTCGAATATTTCGTGCAAGCTTTATCGTGCAAGCTGAATCTATTCAACAGTTAACCATCGATTCGTGCAGTAGCAAACTTTTTATAGCAACCATGCTTTTCCACCGTGAAATTTGTGCAACCTGTGTGGTGTTTGAGGGTGTGCGAGTCAACTGCGACTCCTTCATTCATCATCATCACACTCCTGACACTGGTTCCAACTCTCTGAACATTTTTTCAACTTTTGCTTCACAGTTTTACTTTAGATATCATCTTTCACTAACTGCTCAATGAAAATCAGTCGGTGTAATTGCTTTTCTCAGTGAAATTTTTCTATATTAATTGTTTAAAATATAATGAAAGGTAATATCAAATTTTTGCATTATGGTAGCTGAGCAGAAAATAACGTTGTAGTTTGCTGAGTTGCAAGGCAGGAGGTTTTATAATTAGCAAGTTGTATAATTGGCAAGCTTCATAGTTGTCGAGTTTCTTTGCATCACTAACATGCGAATCAGTTTTACATTTTTTGAAACTTTTAACCATTTCTGGGGTCGGATGAAAAATCAAGCAAAATTTCCCGATTTCGACCGACTTCGATTTCAACACTGCTTCTCTCAGCGAAAAAGTTGTGCAACTTTTAACTTTTTATTTTCTTTAAACTTAAAGAGAATGTAAAATCGAATGAAGACGATTAATATTTATGTTTAGATGCTTTCAATAATTAATGTGATTGAGTAATTAATTTGATTCAATAATTAATGTGATTGAGTAATTAATGTGATTCAGTAATTAATGTGATTCGGTAATTAAGGTGATTCAGTAATTAATGTGATTCAGTAATTAATGTGATTCGGTAATTAATGTGATTCTGTAATTAATGTGACTCAGTATTTAATGTGATTCTGTAATTAATATGACTCAGTATTTAATGTGATTCAGTAATTAATGTGATTCAGTAATTAATGTGATTCTGTAATTAATGTGATTCAGTATTTAATGTGATTCTGTAATTAATGTCGTAGATAGAAATTTTTCCAAAATGTTCCGCAATTTTCCAAATGTGATTGATACAATTTTTATTATTTTTTCACTTTGAGACATTTTTCGTGATAATTTCTTGACTGGCTACTGATTGTTGGATGGGGATGCAAAGGAACGTTCTCAGACAGCCTGGCAGATCTAACACATCATCACGTGATGTGTTTGATCTTGCAGTTGAGAATAATTGAATGAGACCTGATGGATGTTCTCACATGAGTAAGAGATGCATTGCAGTTTTAACTTTTATGTTAAAGAAAGATTTATGTATAGTTTACGAGTTTCAGTAATATTTTAACGTGTTTTGTGTGATTTTCATGTATATTCATTAGATCGAAACATTTTAATATCATTATATTATGTCTTTAGCATTTAATTATAAACATTTTTGAAACACACACACACGCACACAAACACGTACACACACGCACAGACAAACACGCACATGATGCATGTGATGATAGGCGGAGAATCTTCTTGCATTTGAAGGCGGTCACCGCAACAGCAGGATCAGGCGCCTTAACCATTACACCAACATTTTGAAGCAAACTTCATTGCTGTAACGTTGTTGAATACGAATTTTCATTGAATAAAATGTTTAGCTGCAATAAAAAGTATTTTTCTGTTGAAAAAAAATGAAAGAAAAACAACTAAGTTGTCGTTACATTATGAATTAATAAGTGAATACTACTCAAAAATATACTATGATTCGTTTTTAATCAAATTCGTTTTAGTCACCTCAACGATAATACCTCAATTAACTTCCAACTCAATTAACTTCCAACCCAATTAACTTCCAACTCAATTAACTTCCAACTCAATTAACTTCCAACTCAATTAACTTCCAACCCAATTAACTTCCAACTCAATTAACTTCCAACTCAATTAACTTCCAACCCAATTAACTTCCAACTCAATTAACTTCCAACCCAATTAACTTCCAACCCAATTAACTTCCAACCCAATTAACTTCCAACTCAATTAACTTCCAACTCAATTAACTTCCAACTCAATTAACTTTCAACTCAATTAACATCCAACTTGATTAACTTCCAACTCAATTAACTTCCAACTCCATTAACTTCCAACTCAATTAACTTCCAACTCAATTAACTTCCAATTCAATTAACTTCCAACCAAATTAACTTCCAACTCAATTAACTTTCAACTTGATTAACTTCCAACCAAATTAACTTCCAACTCAATTAACTTCCAACTGTTCAAGTGCAAACTTTTTATTGAAACGCGCCGAAGAACCTGCCACTCAATTATTCATCACGTCAGTCGGATATAAAAATTTTGAAATAAAAATTTTTTTACACCTGTATAACAAACACTCCTGGTAAGTGGAAACAACATCAACAACAAACACGAAACTAAACATATTTCATGAAACTCAGAGCCATTTGTAGAGTTTCTCTCTCTTTTCCTCTCTCCCTTTCTCTTTTTCTCTCTATGTTTAAAATCAAATGTACCTGGAAACATCACAGCACAACAACACACAAAACCAAAAAACATTCGATAAGACTCAAGTCATCCGTCGAGTGTCTCTTTCATTTTTATCTGTTTTTCTCACTCTCTTTCTCTTCATTTTATGCTTTTCTCTCTCCATCTCCATGTTTCTCCGCTTTCAAACAACACAACTACAAACAAAACCAAAATTTTTCAAAGAAACTCAAAGTCCCTAGTTGTTCATAGGCTGGAATCTTTTGGCATTTAAACCTGGTCACTGCGACAGCAATGCCAGACATTTTAACCACTTCACCAGCTCGTAAACCCTCTGTATACCTTTGAAGTACCAAAGAATCAGTCGTCCATGATGGGCACTTTTGGGAACTTTGTGCTTTGAAACGGAAAATTTTCATATTTTCACACTCATTCAACCGGCTAAATTATTCATCTCGTCAAAATTTAAAAATTTGGTTAGACAATTAAATCTCGAAACAATACGTTTTGACTGGAGTATGGCGATATTTGTTATTTTATTATTTTATGACGCACATTGCTTGTAGGGATGTGCTGTTACTTTTTATACTCTATCTGAAAAGTATTTTTAAAATCTTTCAGCACAAATATTACCGATACTTGATAATAGTAATCAGTTACTACAATTTAGTGACTCATTGCCATGAAATCTTACTAAATTCAATCTTAATACTTCGATGGATGTTAACTTTCGAGTCATAGGTGCTTTATTTCAATTCTTATCCTCAATTTCGGCAAGAAAATATATTTCGTTTTGTTTCGTTCAGATTTACCCAATGATCATTTAACTGTATTATTTTCTATGTAAAGTGAACATTTTTTACAAAGTTGAAACATAATAAAATTAATAATAGATGATAGTATGCGTTCGGTAGGAATAAGATTTTCTCAGTGTACAATCAATCATATGAAGAATCCATAGATACAAAATGGGTAATCTTCAATTTGTAACTTCCAAAAAAATAGTAAATTATGTTAATTACTAATCGAAATACTTTATCTTGTAACTAAAACTACTAATTTTAAACAGCAATCTGAGTAGATTTTAGTAACAATTTACATTTCTAAGCAATCAGATTACAATAACTACTAACGAAGCAATTTTATGCAAGTAAAAAGTTTATACTAACTAATTACCCAGATTTGAAGGTAGTCAAATTAGTTTAACTAATAACTTTTTAAAGTTCGAAAAGTACTAATTACTTGGTTTCTTCCAGAAGTAGTCAGATTGCAAAACAGATTAGCATATCTCGTTACTTTATCGCGTTATTGTCGCATCAACCACTCATCGCTTGCATTTGCTGAGTGCCACATGCGAACGAGTTTCAAACAAACATACAAATAAAACGAACAACATACCTAGATACAAAACAAAGAAAAACAAAACATACATTTGAGGATGCGCAAATACAGCCTTGCAACTTCTCTATGTGATGGCCTTTTATTACAAAATAAGGAATTAAATCATGGTGAATATATTCAGTAAAAAGATGAACTAAGTATATCAATAATTTATTCTCATCCGAATAATTATCTCTAATGCGCAATGATTGTAGTTCTATCATACACCAGCCTACAGCGCTGCCAATGAAACAATCCTGTTGGACATTCCAACGTTTGCCAACTCAACTCCTGTCACGTCTGTCAATGGATGGATTGTCACTCAGCAGAGGATTGATGTCTCGCAGAGTTTCAATCAAAAATGGATAGAGTACAAGGTATTATGTGTAATATATTTTTTCAATAGTTGTTAAATTTTTTTGTTTATTACCATTTATAGTCAGGTTTCGGCATTTATTATAAAAACTTCTGGTTGGGTTTGGAGAAGATGCACCAATTAACGACCTCGGCTGATTACAGGTTGAGGTTTGAAGTTCTCTTCAGTGGTAAATGGTACTCCGATGAATATGACCATTTCAGGGTTTGTTTTTTCGCAGGCGTATAAATTTCAAATAACAATTTGAAAGAAGCATTCCATCTTCTACATTTTTTTTGTTTAAAAAAATATATAATTGTTTTTGCTTATTTTAAAATTTTCAATAACTCGTAACCATTGTCAAATACTTTTTAAAAAAATATCATCATGTCAAGATGAATAAACAAACAAACCTAGATAAACTCAGAAAATGAAAAGTTTTCCATCGACGTTTCTGGATACTGTGGAGATAAGAGAGATGTTTTAAACAATCACAACGGTATGAAATTTTCAACTCCTGATCAGGATAACGATCAGTATTTTGGCGGTAGTTGTGCTTCTTTAAAGTCATCAGGAAATTGGTTCAATCGGTGTTCATCTCAAAACGTGAACGGTCCGTTAGGCAAAAGGCCATCACATAGAGTAGATGCAAGGCTGTATTTGCGCATCCTCAAAATTTAAAAAATGAGATGAAGGATTTGAAATGGTGCTGAAGTTAATCGTGTTGGCATCCGTAACCATAACAACAAGATTTGGTAAGTTTTTTTTTTAAAAACATTTTTTATAAAATTCAATAAACAAACAAATATTTTTACAACTCGGTCCGTTTGGCTCAATTAATTTTCATTATGGCGATTTTACCGGATGCAAGATGATGATGAAGCGTAACGTGTAAAGGGCATGTTTGTAATGTTCATTCATATGTCATGAATGAACATTACAAACATGTAATGTTCATTCATGTTTGTAATGTTCATTCATATCATGTATTCAACTTTCTTAGAGGATTTCAATTATTTCAAATAAAATTTAAGCATGATTTTATTTACTTCTGTCATGGAATTGATGTACACTCATCGAATAACTTTTTACTTCATTCATTTTTGGTAGAAGAAATCTTTTCATTCTATCATCTATGCCTTTTAATTCGTGATATTTGAGCAACGTGTGCACGTAGTTTGAAATAAAACTTTTCCATATATACAACTTTGATCACATTACAGTAATTTAAACAATAAATTTAACGATTTTTCAATTCTCTTGATTTATAAAAATTTTGCAGCCGAAAAATTACCGACTTGAAGAATTTTGAAAATCATCCTTCCAACACCGTAAAATTTTGAATCAGACATCGTTGCTACAAGCGGCAGAGCGGCATGGCTAGTTTTCAATTTTTTTTTTGACAAAACACTTTTGACAAACTTCTTCACACGTCAAACAATATCTTCTCCGTTTTACATGAAAATTATTTTTCTAAATACAATGTGCGTTTCATTTCAGATGTGTTTTATTTTTTCTTTATACGTGCATTTTGTTATTATAAGGAGACATCTTCGTCTATTTCAATGGCCGGTTAGGCTGAATGAAATTTATATATAGGTGTGCTCGAATTTGTTTGCTTAGATGGTTAATTTTTATTTCTTTTTTTCTCTCTCTCTCTTTTTCTATGTATAAATAATCTTTCTTGTTTTCTCTATTTCACACTCCGCACATATTTAGAAACTGGTGCTTGGTGGATTGAAAGATGAAATGATTTGAGTGTTTGTAAGCTTGGATGCAACGTACATATAAACGAATGTGCAGTTGAAATTTATGTTGAAAACATACTTTAAAATATGATATTTAAAAAAAGGATAGATGGATAGATTGAATGATTCGCTGAAGAAGAGAAATTTAGAAATATACAGATGGTAGATACGAGTAAGAAGAAAAATGTTTTATAGTTTATTCGTCAACATTCATAACTCAAGTAGTGAAAATTTTTTTATACATCAAAAATTAAATAACAACAGATCCATCAAAAAATTTTTGCAACACAAACCATTCAATGTATTACAATATACATTCCACGTAATACTGCATTTTCTGACATGGCCGAAGTATAAAATTTTCTTTTCAAAGATATTTTTCGAATTGAAAAGACATTATTTTGTTGTGAACTGTGAATAACTAGCGCCATAAAAAATAAGATGACGTCTTTTGCTGTTATTTTCCAAACTCAAGAAGAATATATATATATATATATAATATATATATATATATATATATATATATATATATATAATATCTACACACACACACACACACACACACACACACATATACGTTAACTGGAATGACGATAAATAACTGCAGCAAAAGCTAGATGAGCTGAGTTTCAGGCAATTGGAAAATATTGAAAATAATTATTTTAACAAGTTTTAGTAGAAATTTATTTCGAAAATGTTAATTGTAAAAGTAAAATTGTTGAGCATTGTTATTGAAAAACATTTCAACATAAGGCCATCAAAGTTAAACAAAACTCCACCGTATAAAAAATTATATTCAATAAATTCTTTTAATTATTTTCAACGTGATTTGTGTATTCAGTTGTTTTAAAAGATTTTAAAACTATTTTTATTGCTATAACAATTTTTGACCTTTCAATAAAATGATTAAGTGGTAGAAAAGTTTTTTTTTCTAATTACGATGCAATAGATAGATAGCAAGTCTATCTTGAAAATATGATTAACTGGAAACATATATCACACAAATCGAATGCAGTATTAGTAAAGTGGGTATATGCGTGAATGTGTGTGTTTATGTGTGTGTGTGTGTGTGTTTATGTATGTGTGTGTGTGTTTATGTGTGTGTTTTTATGTGTGTGTGTTTATGTGTGTGTGTTTATGTGTTTGTCAATTTGTGAGTTGTGTGTGAAGAAAAAAAATGTTTTACACACACACACACACCACACACACACACACACACACACACACACACACACACACACACACACACATGTTACGTGATGGAACATCATAAGGCTATAAGGCTAATCTTTTCCTCTGAGCTGATGGAAACAATACAGAAAAGACATTAAAAAATGCAGAAGTAACTGTTCTTCACGCACGCTATGTTCTGCCATTTTCCGAAAAGTATATAATACAAAAATATAGTTATAGAAATATATTATAATTTAATTATTAAAATATATTACAATATAGTGTATGAAAATAAGCATACAAAAGTTTTTGGGTTGTGAGGGATTTTTTGGGTATCTTACTAACATTTATGATTTAAAAAATAAATATTATTTTGGATTGTTCACGTTTAGTAGTTTGTTATGATTTAATTACAGCGTATATTTTCTTCAATTAAAAATTGGAAAATCCAATCAACAACATTTTGCTGCATTGTTAAAAAAATCCTTGTCCCTCAACTGACAACATTATTCATACAGAATCAAAACATTCATTGTTATTATTTATTAATATTTTATTATTCAATTTTTATCATTTGCTTGCAATAAATCTTACTTCATGGTCTAGGAAAATTACCTCTTGAATAATGAATAGAGCTAATATTGGCCAAACATTAGCAGAAAATGTTTACATTTATAAGACAATTATGCTTTGACAGGCAAGCCATTCAGTACAGTAAAAAGCAGGCAACAATGTAAAATGTTTGCAGATATTTTTGACATGAAAATGCCATTAGTGATGTGAATGTTTCTTACAATTTTAACATTTGGAAGGAATTTGGCTGTTTGTTAAATGATTTTTGAAATAAATTTTCAGTAAAGAATTATTATAATTTCAGTTCTGTTACTTTTATTTAATAAACTAACGTGATAAATGTTCTTTAGAATTTAAAGAGCATTCGGAAAATTGAAAATGTTATTGATTGCAGTCCTTTTGATGACATTAGCAGCCGTTAAACATGCATCAGCAGTTGATAAGAAGTATGGAATGATAGGAGAGCCAGACAATCCCATGTGTTTTTCTTCCGAACCTACCACAGTCCTAACCAACATACGATCCTTACTGGAATGTTCTACCAAATGTTCTCATTATGTTTCTCCAACTAATGGTAACATCACTTGCAACGCATTCAACTACGTATCCAACAATGCTAGTCATCCAGCTAAGTACTGCCAACTGTTTCATTTCACTTGCGATGTTCATTACAAGATTGCTCTGAATAAAACACGCTGTCAAGCTTATGAGGCCAGTTTATTTTTTATTTTTTTTTTATTTATAAAAGATGAAATATTTGCCGGAGATGAACTTTTAATTTTAAAATTTATTAAATTTTTGAGTTTTCAAATGTAGGATGTTGCCGCCAGAGATGCTTTAGGTTGGTCCATTTTTTTTTATTTAAAGAATAAATCATTTAGATGTTAATTAATTAGTTAATTATCATCTGATTAATTTATTTTTATTTGTAATCTTTTCACAATAATTTATGATAATTCATTAGTATTCATAATTCATGCAGCGTCCACACGCAATCTCACTCATGCGATCTGTAAGTTTGATTGTTTCTTTTTAATTAAAAAAATACTTCACCAATTAGAATATGCACCTCCCTCCTTCAATTTATAAAACATAAAAAAGAGCTTACAAAGTTTTTGAAGTATGGAAACACAGTTGAAATATTTAAATTGTAAGATGAAAAAAGATAAACAAAACTTTTGCGATTTAATTAACCTGATACATATTTCTTAAAAGTAAACAGTACGACCCTGAGCAAATCCTGCAACTTCCCATTCACCTTCAACGGTGGATTGTTCTACTCTTGTTCCAACTCACTGCCTGACATCAGCAATCCTTGTGCTCTCTACATGTGTCTCACTGATAACAGGCAGTTGTCTATCTGTCTTGATCCTCAAGGTTTGTTATGATATGACGCGTTCGTGTTGAAGACTATTTGTTCTGGTTTGGGAGAATAATTTTAGTTGTCATATAAAACAGCCTACAGCGCTGCCAATGAAACAATCCTGTTGAACATTCCAACGTTTGCCAACTCAACTCCTGTCACGTCTGTCAATGGATGGATTGTCATTCAGCAGAGGATTGATGGCTCGCAAAGTTTCAACCAAAATTGGAACACGTACAAGGTAAATTATTGTTTATGTCGTCAAAAAGATGTTTGTGAGATTTGTATACATTTTGAATTAGTCAGACCGTTTTTATGTTTTCCAAATGATTTCAAATTAAAATTTGACAGACTGGATTTGGAATCTACAACAAAAACTTCTGGTTTGGTTTGGAGAAGATGCATCGGTTAACGACATGGGCTGATTACAGGTTGAGATTTGAAGTGCTCATCAACGGTGTTTGGCACTCTGATGAATATGATCATTTCACGGTTGGTCAATTTGCCAAAACAAAAATTTTTAGAATTCCATGAACAACATTTAAAAAAATTCTTATTTAAATAAAAAATTAGAATGCACGTTCACATTTTTATTCGGTTTAACTGATCTTTTTCTCTATATTTTTCAAATACTATACCGTATCAAATAACTGCGTGTGGCGTGATGGCCCACTGGTTAAGGTCGCCTGGTGCTGTTTTGCAGTAACCGGGTT